ATTATTCTAACCTGGAGTCTCTTGGTCAGAGCCAACATGCTGTAGCTAAAAGTAATCCAACACACATTTAAAAATAGCCAAAGAGTATTTGACTAAGTCAGTTTAATACATTGCTGGTGCCTTCAAATGTGCGGGAATTTGACAACATAGGGGAAGACCCAGTATTTTATCTCTTTTCTGCTAGTTACCTTTGTGCATATTCCTGGTTTGATCTTAGCTTCATTCTCAGATTTGTCTTTCACCCAATTAATACTTGGTCTCCACTTCACAGGCATGCACTGAAGTCTGAGCAGCTCCTTTCTCTGGCCCTCCCCAAGTTCCAGCTCTTCAAAAGGTATCCTGTACATCTGCTGCCTTCTCGGTGCCCCCATTATCAGATAGTTTTATTGGCTTGGCAGATGTTTCAGGATTGAGATCAAAACTGACACCCAGCCATGCAACAGTGTCACAGAAAAATGCAACAGAAGAACCAAAAACAGATCTCAGAAATCCTAATTCCTAGGCTCTGATCTAAATGCTAATAATAATGATTACTATGCCTAATTTGCCCTCAAAATTACTGCATAGATCAGTTAACTGGGAACAAAGATCCTTATAATTCATTCTTTGTTAATAGAGTTAGCCAGTTTCCTTGGATATTTATATTAGTTGGGCATACAATTTAGGTACACAGTTATATAGGCATTTAACAGACAGTTGTCCATTTACTTCATTTAAAATTCTTGCCCTCTTTGTCTTGCAGCATAACTAAAAGGAGGCAAGTCCTTGATACTCAGCAAAGACAAAATCCCAGGAACACCGTGTACCTTTCTATCCCCAAAATCTCCCATGGCTGCCAGTCTATCAGTGATGTGCTGCCAACATTTTAACAAGAGCTTTCTCAAAAACATAATGTGTCAGGTCCCTTCTGGTACTGAGTTGGGAGTCCTCTTTGTTCTCGAGCTAAACAGACTTCCCAGAAGCACTGGCTTCTCCCAGAGCAAAAGTGATGGGTTAGCTGGGGATAAAATTTACGCCCTTTACTAGGAATTAGGGGAAAATGAAGACTGATACTCCTAGAACTAGGGCTTCAAACTCTGAGCAATGCAAGGCTGTAAAATTACAGGGATTTGTTTTTTTATTAACATATTTCATGTTCCAGGTCAAAAAAGCCCAATCAGTTCCAAATCATATCGATGGAGCAGAATTCAATCATCCCAAAAACCACATCAATTGAGCAGGCAGAACTCAGTCATTCTAAATACCATGTATGGTGCTACAACTGGCAAGCATCCTCTGTTTCAGGCTCTGACCCTGGGACATCAGATACTCCCAAATCCGTTGGCAGGCATCCCATGCACAGGCCCAAGCCCAGAGGTCTCGGGATTCAGATGCCTCCACTTGATCGTGGCTCATTTGATCTGAGCTGCTGCTGGAGATATAAAGGTGAGAGTGTATGTACTTCTAACAGTGCTGGTGGTGGATGCAGGGTGTGTCCCCCTTGCAAACACTCCTGTTTCACACCAGTTTTCCCAGGAAGCAGCCACCTAAGCAGAGGACTACAAAATGTAACAAACAGCTCCAAATGCCGCAATTTGTGGATGGCCCTGGAAAACAGCACAACATCCCTACCCCCTGCCCCAACTCATCTTACATAAAACAGGCCTAAGGATTTCTGGGGAGGTATGCAAGATGACTTGGTGGGATGCACTATACTTTAAATGACTTCTTCAAACAGCTACTAGGTGGAGTGGCCACGTAAGAGTGATCAGCCTTCCCTGCAAAAGCCGAGTCTGGATGCTTATTCCTTTTAACCCCCACAATTGCTTTTCAGCTGTTTATTCTGTGCAGCTTTTCAACATATTTGCTAGGAAGAGGACTATGAACTTAATTTTTTTTTAAAGATGCAAGATAGGATGCCTGCTTATAAATCCCTGAGGCTGGCTCTGTTAATGAGCCCTTGAACAGAAGAGTTTCTGTGCTATCAGTAGATCATCATCACCACAGTTTACTGCAATTATGCTGCCAGTTCCCCATTCATCTGTTTAGGCTAAAAACACAAAGTCTTCTTAATCACATGGTGATAAATGCTTGTCTGAGCTGATTAATGGAAAATTACAAAATATGGAGAGAGAATATTTTCTAGCGGGGAAGAGTTATTTCATTTTGACAGAAGAATAGGAAGAGTTAGGAATAGGGAGCCAAATCCTGGCTCCTCTTTTGGAAATGCTTAGCTGGAATAAGGCAGGCAAGGTTCTTTGGGCAAATCCAATATCTTTTATTAGACCAACTAAAACAGTTGGAAAAATTCTTCTTTGCAAGCTTTTGGGCGCAAGCACCTTTCTTTAGGCTGAGGAAGCCTGCAGTTGGTCTGTGCTTGTCCTGGATGGATGCAAAGAATTTTTTCAACTATTTTAGTTGGTTTAATAAAATATACCAGATTTACCCAAAGAACCTTGTCTGCCTATGTCCTTAGACCAACATGGCTATAACCTATACCCCTGACATAGCTGGAATAAAAATGCTTTAGTTGGTTCTGTGTGCTGGGGTGTACTGGAAATCTGGCAGGATTGCCTTGTACTGAGGTGAACCTGGGCAATTACAACGCCATCTACAGGGCTATTCCAGCTGGTACAAGTTGACTCTGGGACTATTCAAGCTTGTGCCCAGGAGCAAAATTAACCTTAGACTTCTTCCTAGGATTGGGGAACCTTAAGATAGTGAAAAGCCTTTTACACCACAGCTGAGCTGCACCTGCAAAGTGTGCTCAGGTGCACTTGGGGGTCTAGCTAGAAAGCAATGGAAACTCCCTGGCTTTGACAGCAATGTCTGCACGACATGGGAATGGTATACAACTTCACACACGGGGAAAAAACAAGCCTAAGTTTTTGTAAAATATTTAAAATTTGATCCTGCTTCAGTAGACTTGACAAAGATTTTGCTGCTAACTTAAAAAAGTTAGCATTGCTAATAGGGGTAAGGTTAGTATTGAAGGGGGGAAAGGGGTCTTTGTATTATGTTCCCAGTCTCAGGCTATAACCTGTACCACAAGTTTCTTCAAGTTTAAACTCTCCCTGTTGGCACAAATAAACACACAGGTTACCTGGTGTTGATTTGATGTGTCGTGTTTTGTGCAGTCTCTTTTAGTATTATTTCTATAATGTTTCCAGGATCCTATGATAGTTTTCTGTCAACAGGGTATTGTCTCTTCTGGGATTTGGAGTTGCAAACATCAAATCATCTTTTGTCTTTGAGTCCGAAGAAGGAGAAAAAAATACTCTAGTGCATGAGCCAACATAAGCAATACCTGAATCTCTGCAATGTCTCTTTGGGGCTTTGGATCTGGTGCTTGACTAATCTCCTAAATAAAAGTCTTCATAAAAAGTTCAAGTATTTTTCTTGTTCTCTCTCACAAAAACAATTTTGATTAAAGTCTTCTTCAATCTAAACAGGTTAAAAATATTCAAATAAAGCAGTGTATCACTACCTGCCTACATTTTTTGCAAAAAAAAAAAAAAAAAGGTATGCGATTTTCTGTGTACACACAGTCACATATTGAAAGGAAACAGTTCTTGAAAAAATCCTCTGTATAATTTAGAATTGGTACCTTAGTAAGGCCATGTGGATAAGGCACTAAACTGGGGCTTGTGTTTCCACCTCTGCTCTAAAGTTTCCTTATTTCTCTGCACCTCAGCTCTTCTCCTGTAAAATGGGGATAGCATTTCTTTTTGTCCTACATTTTGCCCTGTTAGTTTGCAGGCTCCGTGGTTTACTCTGCCTAAAGCAATCAGCAAAATGGGGCCCCAAACTTGACTGGAAGTTTAGAAATACTGTATTTATTTACTTGATTCTAGGATGAGGGGAAAAAAGCCCCTCATCTTAGAATGGAGTATGAGGGCGGTGGGGGTAGCTCCAGCCCCTAGCCAAGGGTCAGAGCCATAGCCCCAGCTGCTGCCTGTCCCCCCTCACCCCTGCCCCATCCATCTTCCTCCCTCTCCCTCTGTGCAGCCTCTGCTGCCCTGCCTGCCCCTCCCTCCCTTCCCATTACCCTGTCCCTGCTCTAGCCTGGGGTGCTGAGCAGGGCCCCAGCCCAGCCCTGTAGCAGCAGTGTGCAGCCCGCTGCTCAGCACCCCAGGCTAGAACAGGGCCCGAGCTACTTGCCCTCCCCACTGCCTTCCCCCCTGCAGCAGTGGGGGGGAAAGGGGCTGAATTCAAGGTGAGCAGCCATTAGATTCTAGACCTGGAAAACGATGGTGCCGATACATATTCCAGGTCTCGAACTGAATTATGGGGGAGGGTGGCCATCTTAAATTCAGGGTCGTCTTAGATTCGGTGTGTTCGGCTGCTTTTGCCCGCGTTTCTGGTCACGGTGCGGATGGATGCCTTCTCCGGAGAGCGGGGATCCCCTGCGCCTCTGCTGCTTCCCGGGTTCCTGGGGGAGCCCAGGCTAGCAACCGAGGCGGCTGCTCCCACCAGGCTGCAGGTTTCTGTTTTCTGGCTTCAAACAGTTGCCGTTCACACGTGTGCGCCCACCCCATGCCGCACGCGGCCCTGCCTACGCGGGGCAGGGGCAAGCCCCCGGGCCTGGGCAATGCGAGGAGCGGGCGGGGGGCCCGGACTCCGCCTGCCTCAGTTTCCCCTCAGTCCGGCGGCAGCTCCGGGCTTTGGGCTCCGCCGGCCGCCGCCTCCCAGGAGCCCCCCGGCCCGCGCCGCCCCCTTGCTTCTCTCCTCCCCTCTCTCCT